AAATGCCCCTCCTGGTCTACATGCAGCCCCGAGCCACAGTTCAGCCATCAGGAGAGAAGTACTTCACCATCGTTTGCATTCCTCAGTGCAAAGACGATTGTGAGCGGATGTTCCTGTGTATGCCATAAAAAGCCACGGAATGTCTGCCTCTGATGACTACAGTGAAACTACACAGTGTACTGGAATAAACACACAGGAAGGCTTCGGAGCACACAACCAAAATGGACTGATACACTCCACACCCAGTTTGCATCTGTTAAAAATATTCAGGCATATTTATCTCAATAGCTTTGAGAGCAAAGGAGGTCACAGCAGTTGTATCCAGTGTGGACAGGGCAGTTAGCTATGTGCTGGTTTATTTACGTAGAGCATTTTATTTTTATGGGGCAAGTTATCTTCAAATAGGCAGAGGGTTGGAAAAAGCGTTTTCAAAAAACCATAAATATAATTTTTGGCTACATGTTTTCTAGCACACCCCCGCCCAATGTAATAGAAAAGCAACATCTTTATAATTGGCACTTGACATGCTGTTTGCGTTGGGCTGTGGCACACCAAGCACAGATTTCCTGTTGATGGAAACATTTATCATCCTGATTGCCCCAGAGTGGCAGGTGGTGTTATCAATTACCTCTTCTTACCAATAATAATATTAGTATGGTAATATCTTTGCTCAAGTGAGAACCAATTAGCAGTCACTTGTCACAGCATTAAAGGCACAAAATCATGCTGGATTTAACTCTAAGAACCTAAAACAAAAGTTGGGGGTGGGGGAGGAACCAGAGAGAGGGAGAGAGGTGGCCAGAGAATAGAAGAAAGGAACTTTGGGTGGGGGGAGCAGTGAAAGAAGACAGAAAATGAAAGCCCTAATATTTGACTTTTTTTTTTTTTTTTTTTTTTTTGCATTAAGTGGTTGGGGAAAATACTTGTAAACAAAGCTTCAAATGCACCTTAGGTAAAACTAGCTTCTGTGAATCTGGGGCCAGGTAGCTTCAATAAACTGTGACTGTGATGGTAAATTAGAACCAACTATTCCACTTCCAATCAATCTTGCAGATAGGCTTTGTTTTATCTGAATGTTACCGATTGAACCAAACACCTAATTATATGTTTCACTAATGTAAAATATACAGCATTAATTTGTAAATAATATTAGACAGACAAAATAATAATGTGTCATCTCTTAAGATGAAAACAACATTGCAAGAGGAAAGCCAATTAACAAATTAGATTTAATTACAGGGAAGAAAAGCAACTTTTGTTTTTGCGAGTGTTTAGGTATGACAATATTAATAGACAGTGGTCATGTGATGACGAGGACGTGTGTGCCCCTCCGAGTCTACACCCACACAGGCACATGGCCCAGCGTCCCTTTAATCTGGGCAGGACCAGAGCGCACGTCCTGTGTCATCTGCGAAAATATTCCGTGGACACGTTGTCACTTCGCAATAAATCTATGGTTGCAACTCGGGCTTAAGATGCAAACGCTTTTATTAAAAGTTGTCGCACTGAATAAGAGCAATTAAAGTTTCTGATCTGAGTATAGGGAAGGAAGAAAGGCGGGAACAAGCCAGTCAAGAAGTTGCACGCCTTTTATTTTCTACTTTTGCTTTTTTAAAAAATTGATCTTGTTCACTTCAGTCAATGTTTAAAAGGGTGCGCCGCAGAAATTACTCGTGCGCACCATTTCAGCTGTGGGGGCATTCGTACAAGCTTCCGCTGCACACACAGCCTCCCCGGCCCTCTCCTCCAAGGCTCTGCCGGATCTTCCAACGAAATCCCAGAGCAGCCTGCGCTGGGGAGCCCGCAACTCTCTCCAGATCTCTGCACCCCGCAACCGCCCGGAATCTGGGACGGCGCCCACGCCGGGCTGGGCCAAGGGCAGAGCTTGCACCCTGCCTTCACGCCCGGTTCACTTGCGTCCACGAAAGCACCGTGCCAGCCTCCTCCATCTTCCCACTCGCGCAACGCACGGCGACCTGCGCGACACTTCTGCAGTCTGAAGGCTTGCTTCTTACAAATAAAGGGCCAGAGTCTCACACTTGCCTTCGCTGGAGGGACTTAGAAGATCCTCCCCAGGTCCACACCTTGTAGGAAATGCAAAACAGATCGATGAAATTAAACGGTTGCATTTGGAAGCCCGAGAAAGACCTAAAGACATCGTGCCAGTTTGTTGGAGAGAGGGGTGCGGGACAGGGGGAGCGGGCCTTACGCAACAGAAAAGGTGGCCACAGCGCGCTTAAAATGACCCAGTGGGGAGCTGGTGCCGCCGAGCCAGAGGCTGCGAGTCCAGCTGGTTCTGGACTTGCTCGGCAGGCGTCAGACGCTGTGGGAACCTGTGTCTGCTTCTTCTCCCCAAAGTGTGTCGGTTAAAAGAAAAATAGAAGTAGTAGTAGCAGTAGTGGTCAGGAAAAAAATAAAAATTAAAAGAGAGACACAATTAACCAGGTCATAAAAGCTAGGGCACCTTCGACCAGGGCTCTGGCCGTCCAGCGATCGTTTTGCGTTGTTTCTCCTCCCGAAAGTAGTCTCAGACCCCTGCCTTTCCGCTGCGGCTCTGCGACTTCCCCAAACTCTTTAGTCCTGTAAATTCTGCAAGAAACTCCCATCCTGCAAGCTGCTTTTCCCCCCCTCCCCACTACGTTCCTTTTTTCTCTCCCCACCCGCGCCGCCTCTCTATGCCCCTCTTTTCTCCGGAAAATTCCTACACCCCGCGCGCCCCAAAGCCCGGGCTGCAAACTTTTCCCCGCCGGGCGCCTCTGCGCCAGATGCCGGAGCGTCCCTCCAAAGCCTGAGCATCTGCACAAGTTCGCAGCCTAACTGCGGGATAAAGACGTTCGCCCGTAGCTTAACTAGAAAAGCACCATCGATGTGTGTGTTAAACGGGATAAGTAGAGATTTCAAACATCTTTTATTTGTCTTGGGAAAAAAAAAAAATTCAACTGAATACGCCCGCCACCAAAAGGCAAAATAAAACCAACCTTAAGGGTTTTTTGTGGTATTTTTTTTTTTTTTTCAAAAGTGGCGATAGGAGCTGTTTGGACATGACTCCAACACTCTCCTGCGCTTTTCCTGGAACCCAAAGCTCTGACTTCGTCAAACTTACACAATTAAAGGCGGGCGGGAGAACTCGGGCTGGGAAGCAAGCGGGAAGATTCTAGAATGGAAGGCAGCCCGCCGAGCGCCGCGAGCCGCGCCAGGCCGGGTCCGATGGAGCAGGCGGGGATTCCTCCCCCAGGCGGACCCCCGCCACCAGCCCTGCCAGGAGCTCGCGGCCCGCGGAGCGCCCCGGGCCGGCCGCTCACCGCCCGCTTCCCCCAGCGAAAGACTCGGGGAAGCTCCAGGAGGCCATCCGTGCTGACGCTTCACATCAGACAGGGCCACTTGCAAGGACAAAAATAAGAAATTTAGGAAATGAAAAAAGGCGTACTGGGGCGAGGGGCGCGGGCGCGGCGGCTACTGGGCCTGGGGCACATCCTGGCGGCCGCTCGGGGAGAGAGGACACGCGCGGGAGGGCGCGAGGCGGGTGCACGGCCGCGGGTGGGAGTGCGCGCGGGGCGAGGGCGAGGGCGCGTGCGTGCGACCGCGGGAGAGGGGGCGGGCGCGTGTGCGGGGAGCGCGCCGCGCCAGCTGCCCCAGAGTGTGGGGCCGATCCAAAAGTGCGCAACCCCCTCACCTGGCCCCCGTGTCATCCCCGAAATCCGGGAACGGGGTGGGCCGCGCGCAGGACTTTGGTGGAGTTGGAACTTTCGGTCGCGCTCGCTGCCCACTCCGCTGGCGCCCGGAGGCCCGTGGGGAAGGGGGACTAGGGTGGGGACACCGGGGTCCTGCGGTCCCCTCCCTTTCCTGCATTTAAGAAGCCGACGGCGGCGCAGAGGCTCCGGCGGGCTGGCGCGGGGGCGAGGCGGCCCCGGTGGCGGCAGCGGGCGGGGCGGGCGCTCCGGAGTCGGTGGGGCCCGCGGGTTGGGGGGCGGGGAGAGGGGGGAGTGAAAGGGAGGGGGCACGCAGGGGAGGGAAAGGAGGGGAGGAGCCGCGCGGCCCGCGCCGCTTCCGAACCGGAAAGTTGGTCTTGACGAAGTCCTGCCACCCCGGCGTGCGCACTCCGCTCCGCTCCGGCCGCGAGCCTCCGAGCCCGGCCGGCCGCCGGGGGAAGCCCGCGGAGGGGACGCGGGGCCGGGCGAGAAGGTCCGGAGAGCGGGGGCACCTGAGCCCGAGCGGGCCCGCCGCGCTGAGCTGCGCCGAGAACCGCGGCGGAGCAGTGAAGGCGGCCGGCCGACCCCCCGCGCCCGGAGCAGGAGGCCCGGCGCCCGAGCGGCCCGGGCGAGACAAAGGCGCCGGGTCGGAGCCCTGCCCGCGGCCGCTCGCTCCGGGAGGGGCCGCCCGGCGGCGGCGGGGGGGGCCGCGGGCGGCGGCGCAGACACTCTATAAAGGGGCGAGCCCGGCGCGCCGGCGGAGACGGCGCCGCGCGGACGCCGCCAAAGTTTGCTGCCTGCGCCCTGCGGAGGGGCGGCCACCGCGGCCCGCGCCGCACCCGGGCCCCGCCAGAGCCGCACCGGGGGCGGTCGAGGAGCGCGGCGCCTGGAGCCCGCGATGTGAGGCGGTGCCGGGCAGCGCGCGCCCCGGTCCCGAGGCGCCGCGGCCCCCTCCTCGCCGGCGCGGCCGCTAATTGCGAGCGCGGCCTCATTTGCATAGGCCGCCGGAGTCCGCTGGAGCCCGGCCAATCGGCGCGGCCGCGTCCCCCCCCACCACACACACCGCCGCTCAATGTGGGCCAATGGCATGTGGTGCAGCGGCAGGCGCTAAATTGCTTCAGCCCCAATGGCGCGCCCGCGGCGAGGCGCCGCGCCCGCGGGCCCCGCGCGCCGCGCGCCGGCGCAAAGGCTCTTGTCTTCTTCCTATCCTTAAAAAAACCGGCCGGGCGGCCGCCGCCCGCCCCGCGCCGTCCCCGCCGGCCGCCCCGCTGATGCCGCTGCCCCGCGCGGGGCCCGAGCGCCGCTAGCAGCATGTCTAGGCGCAAGCAGGCCAAGCCCCAGCACCTCAAGTCGGACGAGGAGCTGCCGCCGCCGGACGGGGCTCCCGAGCACGGTGAGGGCCGGGGCTGCGGGGTGGCCGGGGGGTCTGGGGCTGCCCACCCGGGCTGGGGAGGCGGGAGCGGCTGCGTGCGTCCGGGAGCGGGAGAAAGTTCCCTGCTTCCCGCGAGCAAGTGTCCGTCCCGCGCCAGGCCGGCCGCGGGGACCCGGGTACTTCGCCGGAGCGCGCGCGACCGCGGAGAGAGTTGTGGGCGAAGTAAACTTGGCTCGTCTCCTCGGAGTCGGGGAGCTGCCCGCGGAGGGCGCCGAGGCCGCGGCCGGCTTGCGGACGGCTCGAAGGCCGGAGCGGGAGGGAGTCCACGGTGCCTCCGCCTCCGCGCCGCCCCCCGGGGTCTCTGCGCCAGGGCGCTGGGGCCGGCCTCGGCGACCCCGGGGCGAGCGCGGCGGCGGGGTAGGCAACCGGAGCCCTCTTACCGCTGGACGCGGGTCGGGGACGCCGCCGCCCGGCCAGCTTTGTTCGGCGCCTCGGGGACCCGCGCCACCTCCCCGGCCCCGCCTGTGCCTCCGGCCCCCCGCACCGCCTCGGGTGACCCGCGGTGTCCCAGCGCGTTGACGCAGCCTGTGATCTTGCGAGGCCAGGAGAAGGTCTGGGGCTCGGCCTTGCCTAATGGCCGCCTGGGGAATTAAGCTGGGGGTGAGCGCGGCGGCGGCGGCCTGGGCCTGGCCCCTGCTTGCGGCAGAACCCCGGCGTGTTTGCAGGGACCGTTCATTGCAGGGACCGCGCGGGCCTTTTCTCTCTGGTCTTTTTGGATCCGCCGAGGCCGGGCGCTGGAGACGCCTTGGCAGTCATTTCGCTGGTAGGAGCTTCCTCTTCGAAACATCCGAAAGCGAAGGGCAGGCGCCGCGAAAGTTAGAGACTGGCGGAGGGCTGGACTTTCCAGAGTGGCCCCTTTCCCCGCAGAGTTTGGGGCGCCCCTACCCCCTTCGTCGAGTTAAAACCTCGGCCCGCGGCGCCCAGGCTTCGGCGCGCCCCGCGGGGCCCCCAGGGCGCCAGGATGGAGGGCCGAGGAGGGGCGACCCCGAGCCTGCAGCACAGCTCGCAGTAAAATAATTTGCTCCTTAAAAAAACAGCCAGGCCAACTTTTATGATTGACCTATCACAAGTTGTCGGAGGCAGATGGTGATCTTTTTACTCTGAGAATGAGACTTGTCTGCGAAAAGGAAACGGGGCGGAAGAGTTTCCCAGCCAGTGGAGGAAAGTTTGACAAAGCAGGTAGACACCCATGTCGCATGAGAACGAGAGAGCATGCTTCTGACGCGGCTGGAGAATTAATGAATTAAATAAAATTAGTGAGCTCGCTGGGGTCTTTTTGTTGCCGTGGAGGTAAGGGAGTCTTATCTGTGTAGCCAAGTCAGCCAAGATTAGAACAGGCGATATGCTAAAAAGAAACGCTTGCATATGGTGGGTAGATTAAGGACAAAGAATCTTTTTGTCATGGAAATGGATTTTTTTTTTGTTTTGTTTACTTCATCACATAGAATTTCTCACACTTGGTTTGTTTTGTATCGCCCTCAATGACTACATGATCAAATGAATGGATTTATTTCTGCCGAATGAGAAAGACAGTCTTTCCTTCAAAAGAACTACATTGCATCCCAGTGAGGAATTTTAAAGCTTTATTATTGTGGCTCCTGAATAGCTTAAAATCGGCTTTCACAGCCGCCCCAAAATGCAACAATGTAAATACTTCTCAGCTTTGTAGGGTCGTTATCAAAATGTGCAATGTCTCCTTTTATTAAAGCATATTTTAATTAATAGAGTAAACCCCCTTGTATTTAACAATTAACAAGCTGAGGCACTGCTATTCATTTTTAATTTCACTTCAGAAATGTGAGCATGCTGAACTTAATAGTGTAAACATGTGGAGGGCTATATCGCCTATATTTGAAAGCCTAAGATGGGATAAATTATTCACAAGTTCTACTTTGAATTCCCCTTGTTGCTGCTCGAATTTATTTAGAGATGCAAAATATTCAGGTTTTTTACCCATGGTAGAATTAAAGTTCTTGTCAAGCCTGTGTTTTTTACAACATCCAGAGTTGTAATCCAGACGTTGCCACAGTTCCTGGTGATATTTTGCAACAGGCCCGAAATACGGTCTGGGGCTGAGTCTTGGTCGAGCGGTTTCCATGCTGGTTTGAGATAGTTTAGGCAAACTATTTTTTTAAAGTTCTTTCTCATTTAATTATATTCGAAGCAGCTTGTTCAAGGAGCATAACAGACACTCTGTTCCGTGTTAAGTCAAGGAATGCCCCATTTGTGTATTACTCGGTCGCACTCAGCATCGTTCCTAAGATAACTAAGTAAAAATTTTTAAAAGATAAATGGGTGTGGAAACCAAATTACTCCAACCTGAATCAGATCTCCTCAGAATTTTAATTTTGTTAAATGCAATGGAAATAAACAGACTGTGCCGGAAGTTACAAGTGAGCTGAGTTAGTTTAGTGTTTTAGAAACGAGGTAAATAATTCCTTTGTATCACTCGGGGAGTGACATATTAATTAAAGCAGCAGGTCCAGCTACATGGAGTAGAATGGAAAGCTACTGATAATGTCATGCAGAACAAATATTATATGCAAAAATGTTTAGTATAATGGGGGACAGAGATGCAGTCACATTAATTTACAGCACAAAGCCTGTATCTCTTAAAAAAGAATTATGATTTATTTTTGAAGCAATGAAAAGATTCTATGCAAAAATAACTGGTGCTAGCCAAACTTTATCACTACAGGAATTAAACATGACGTGTCTAGAATGAGAAAAAGTAAGGATGATTTATGTAAAGTTCTAAAGTCATCCTTTTGTAAAAAAAAAAAAAATTAAATTATTGAGACATTCCTAACAGAAATTGTTTTTTAAAATTACTTACTTGCAAATGATCTCATTCCTATTTTAGAAGAAAAGGTGCTGCAGCTTTGGGATCCAGTTAACTTTGCACCACTAGTAATCCTGTGAGCCAGCTGAATATTTTTGTTCTAAGAAAAATTAATTAAAACTTCCAATGACAGTTATATGCCCACTAAGAACTTTAAAAGATACAATATTGCTATTCTTTATTGTAATAAAATATAATTTAAGAAATGTATCTTATTGTTAGAATATATGTATTTAAGAAGGAACAAAAGGATATTATAATTTAAAACCATTTACCATCCTGTATTTTGTTTGTTAGCACTAATTGCTTCAAAGTGTGTGTTTCCTTTTTCTGCCAACTTAGAAGTATATGGCTGTCTTAAAAATCCTTTTAAATGTGTTGAGCATGTGATTTAAGAATTTACCAGTGGTATTCACAGACTGTGTTTGAATTAAGGGAGAGAAGCTCGGCCACCAGTGCTTGGCGCAGGATCTTTTTCTTTTATCTGTATATGCATGGTTTGCCCTCAGTGCTCGCCCAGCACACTACACACATTTACAATTCAGCATACCAAAAGGAACAATGCAGGAGCCACTTTCTAACATTCACAGGCAGATTGCTTTCTCTGAAACATGAAAGGTAAAAAGTAAGTAACCGGGTTGGGTGAGGGGAGAGGAAAAGAAGACTTTGCAAACATTTCTTTTAAAAACAACATTAAAAAACTTAACCTATTTTAAAATGCACGTTTCTGTGATCAACAAAAAAGCATGCCAATTAATTCCCACCTTAGAGCTGATTATGTAACAGTTTGGGAATTTTATGTGCAATACATTTTCAGCTTCCATGGCATATGCATTATCCAGTGTTTTTAGATCTGTTGTTCAAAGCCAGAAAAAGGTATGGAGTAACAGCAGGAATTACTTAGCAAGCTGATTCTTTTTTGTATACAAGATGATGGCAAAAGTGGGTCAAATTTCATTTCCAACTGCAATCTCTACAAAAGCTGTACCATTCATCTCCAGGTAGCCCTAAGAATATTTTCTTTTGGGGGGAATTCAGCAAAAGCACAACCAGGGTTAGACCATTCGTTGGAATTTAGCATTCTTACAAGTATTGGCACTGGCTTGTATTTAAGTACAATGAAAATCTTTTTCACTTCTAATGAGGATGTGCACCGTCTTTCAGTGCTGCCAGATTCAAGAAGCATAACCTAAATATAACAGGAAGGACTTGTTTTTATTAGTTTTTATTTTCCTACATGATTTGTTGAACAGTTGCCAGAATATGACCAACATGTTTTAGTCTTGGAAGGACAGGTTTGTAATTACAGCATACCTTAATTACTACACATTTCAAACACAATGAAACAAAATGTATGTAAAAATGGAGCAATTGAATATTCCAGTAAACTTTTATTTTAAAAAACCTGTCGGGTTATTTCTCGTGCAATTTCAACACATTTATGATTTAAAATGCAGCTAACTGATTTCCAAGCAAACCAGGCCAGTCGTGTTCCAGAAAGTATAAAATATTAATTGTAATAAAATAATGGAATGGTCTCTATGTTAGAGATGAAGATTGATTTGTTTCTTAATTAAAGGGAAGAGTTCTCGAGACTGAGACGGTGTCCACCAAGGGGATCCAATAATGCCAGTGTGGCATCTAAATATTTTCCTCTGTGGGCCTGTCTTTTTCAATCACCTTCAGATTAGTTATGCTTACTATCTAAAATCCCTACCCCCTTTGCATTCTCTGCGAGCATTAGCAGCCAGCTCGGCACAGAAAGCCTTTTTGTCTGATGTCTGAAAAGGTGGGGTTGCAGAGTGCTGGCCAGCTTCCGACGGTCTCTCCCTGAAGGTGGGTAGTTAGAAGTGCTTTGACAAGCCTTGCTGATTTAACCTTTGCCTGCTTTGCCCTGCCAGGGGTGGCCACTAGATGTCAAGCTCATAATACAATTAGTGCATCTGTGCTGTTGACCTTGGCAACAGGGCTCACCACTGTTCTGTTAAGTGTTAACACTGAATCTGAGTGTTAACTAGAGATCCCGCGAGCTTGCGCCGTGCTGCACAGCTTCTCAGACGCCATCTAGTTCAGCACAAGTGTTTATAGTTCTTAAAGAAGAGAAAACGGCTTTCTTTTG